TATTTCTTTTTTCAATTAGTTTTTTGTAATCGTTCTCATCAACTGTTAATTTTTCATATTGCAGTAAATGACTTGATCATGCTCTAATTTCTATGCTCACTGAATAAGATTTTAATAATAATTACAATTCAATTCCTTCTAGAACACACTTTAGAGTGTGAATTTCTGGAATTCAATGTTTTTTGATACTCTGGTAGAAGTGCGTGCCCACACTGTTATCGATTTTTAGTTAGAGCACACGGTAATTAAATTAATCTGTTGTGCATCTCATCAATATAATTCCGTGCTTAGAATATTGTCATCTCGTGTTATCAGCACCAAATTAAAAATTAAAACTTTATGTGGAATATTGAGTCACAGCTTCTTTTTATTCATATCAGAAATTTTGTATTTGGATATTAATATTATTTGTTCAAAGTGAAAAAATCGATCATCATTTTCACTGTATTGCATTCTCCTATCCTTAACGTCAAAAATGTGAGATAATCTCATAATTCCAGCTATCAATTGTAATCAACTTTGTTCAAAGAAAACCTTAGTAAACGCAATATGAAGAAAGTTGAATTATTCTATTTTCCGCTGACCTAAATGATTTGGACAATTATAATTCGATTATTCATGTTTCATAGAATGGTATTCAATTCTCTTTTGTTTGTTAGGCGGGCTTCATGGAAATTCGACGTAAGATGACTGTATTCATGAAAACCGCCTTACTGTGCCCATTCGATTAAAGATATTGCCCATGCTTTTTCTCTTGCTGTAATTTAATGATCAACGAGATTTTTTCCTTTTTTTACCATTTCAAGAATTGTAGGATTAGCCTGTTTTCGTTTTTTTTCAAGGATTACGGAAGGTTTCTGATGAAATAGAAGCCGATTGAGTGACTACGAAGGATACGACAGGATGATTGAATTATTCATAGACTGCCCACCCGTTTTTATTAAGATTTGTAGAATTGAGAGATTCTTATCGTGTTATTTTTTGCTTGAAATATAAATAAAATGAGAATTAATGAAATGTAGTCAAGAATCAGATGGAAATCTCCACCAAGCAGTGATTTCTCTCTTACAACTTCAAACTTCGAAATTATTCAATATTTTTCCGCGAAAAAAAAGTACTTCTCGAAGTGAGAAGAAAATAGAACCAGAATGCTTTTATAAATTTCCCGAGGGGAAAATGACTTTCCGCTCTTAGTGCACAGTATTCTAATTTCGACCTCATGACGAAATGTACTATTACGCACAACTTCTGAACTTTCCCCACGCCGTGCGGAAATGGTATATTTCGTCACTCGAATGCTGCCCTCCCAAGAGTCAAAGAACACTTGCCACGAGGATCGAACCCTACTTTTCATCACAATGTGGCAAAAATCCACTATTTTATTAATAGACACAGTCCTCCGCCCCTCCCGCCCCTTGGCGCCCCAGTGACCCTCAACACATCGCCTGCACCTCTCCCGCAATCCGCCCCCTCCCCTCCTCCACCAACCGCCCTTATGAAGTCACATTCATCAGAATAGTATATTTCAGGACGAGTGCCATGCGGTTTTTTATTCGCGTGAAGTTGGTGTCCGGGCCTTCGGCTTGGACTGGCCAACCACGCGGGTAAAAAACCCCATGGCACTAATCGTGAACAATATTTTTCCGTAGTGATTTTCACTTTTACGAGTTTGGAGAAGGGCCAATACCAATCCCCGGACGAGCAAAAGTGAAGGTCAGTACGGAAATAGTATTTTTCCGGGCTGCTGCAATGGGGTTTTTTACTCGTGCAGCATTGACGTCCGAGCCGAAGGCGAGGACTGGCCAACCACGCGAGTAAAAAAAATCATCGGAGAAGCCCGGGACAAGATTTTTTTGTAGTGATTTTCAAGTTTTCGAGTTTGGGAAGTATGCAATATCAATTCCCAGACGAGAAATCGTGAGAAGCAATACAGAAAAATACTTTTTAGGCCTTGTGACGAAAATTACTAGTTTATCAATCGGCCAAAAAAACTTGTCTAGCTCATATGATTTCTTTTATGTTAAGGAAAGGTTTATTGCTTTATATTGCTATGGGGTCTTCCCTGAGAGTATAAAATGGGGAAAAGTCCTCAGGAGTTTTACTGATGGGTTTTTCCCAAATGTGGGTTTTCCCCACAAGTACACCTGGTGACCAGGCGGGGTCAAGACGGAAAGACCAGGCGTTTGCTTCAGGGGGTGGAAATTATATTGCCCTCCTGGGTCTATATTAACCCTGGGCCTCGCTAGCAACCATCTTTAGTCTCTCGTAGATATTCATAGTGTCAACTACCTCCTGACTGTGTAGAGTCTTAGAGATTTTTCAATTGAAGTGTTCACATAGATAAAAAGTGTTTCTTAATTTAAACTCCATAATCCAATATTTCCCAAAGAAATCTGTTAGATTTCGGGGTTTTTCCCCAGATCAAAATTCTTTCCTCCAAGTTCTTTTATGTTAAGGAAAGGTTTATTGCTTTATATTGCTATGGGGTCCTCCCTGCGGGACTTTTACTGATGGGTTTTTCCCAAATGTGGGTTTTCCCCACAAGTACACCTGGCGACCAGGCGGAGTCAAGAGGGAAAGATCAAGCGTTTGCTTCAGGGGGTGGAAATTATATTGCCCTCCTGAGTCTATATTAACCCTGGGCCTCGCTAGCAACCATCTTGAGTCACTCGTAGATATTCATAGTGTCAACTACCTCCTGACTGTGGAAAGTCTTAGAGATTTTTCAATTGAAGTGTTCACATAGATAAAAAGTGTTTCTTAATTTAAACTCCATAATCCAATATTTCCCAAAGAAATCTGTTAGATTTCGGGGTTTTTCCCCAGATCAAAATTCTTTCCTCCAAGTTCTTTTATGTTAAGGAAAGGTTTATTGCTTTATATTGCTATGGGGTCCTCCCTGCGAGTGTAAAATGGGGGAAAAGTCCTCTCGGGACTTTTACTGATGGGTTTTTCCCAAATGTGGGTTTTCCCCACAAGTACACCTGGCGACCAGGCGGAGTCAAGAGGGAAAGATCAAGCGTTTGCTTCAGGGGGTGGAAATTATATTGCCCTCCTGAGTCTATATTAACCCTGGGCCTCGCTAGCAACCATCTTGAGTCACTCGTAGATATTCATAGTGTCAACTACCTCCTGACTGTGGAAAGTCTTAGAGATTTTTCAATTGAAGTGTTCACATAGATAAAAAGTGTTTCTTATTTTAAACCCCATATCCAATAGTGTCGTTTTGGACAATTTCACTTTACGCCCAAGTGATGAAATCCACTATTTTCCGCCAGTACTCACCAATTTCTGACCTAATAGGGAAGGCCCCCCACCTTCCGCCCTCCCGCGCCCCAAACGCCCTCGACACATCACCCAAAGCCCCAAACCCCAAACATAAATAGAAAACCTCGCTCACCTGAACCTCTCCGTAACCTCCCCCGCCCCCCGAAACTAACGATACCGCATCATGCTCAGTCCCCCTCCCCTGAAAGGATAAACGCTGTGCTCATCGCATGAAAGAGGGAAAGCAAAGCCACGAGAGACCCGAGACCCCAGAGGCCACTGGGGTCTCCTGCCGTTCTTCTGCCTCACCAGGTACCCTCCGTCCCTCTCGCCGGCCGCCACCCGCCGATAGCTCCGTCTCAATCTTCCCAGAGATGAAACGCGAAACACGAGAGAAGAAAAAGTACCGCGCGGCGGTGGTGGTGCCGGCGGGGGCCGGAGGGGCGGCAATCGCTGAAGAACGGGGCACAGTAGAAATTGTGCGGCGGTGGGGGGGGAGGCCTGGAGGCCGGCCTGCGGCTCCGGCTCAGTATCCCCGGAGCAACCGACTCACGTGTATCCAAAGGTGCAGCGTCCCGTGTGTTACTTTATTTTTATTTTTTTTTTCTGTGAAGAACATCTTTGTGTGGAACCGTGGGAATTTTTCATAAATAATCGCAACACTTGCCGACTGGATTTATTACTAATTGTGGATTAAAGTGGGATAAACAGGTGTGGCTGATAAATTTGTCAGTGGATTTGTTGTGTGTTTTCAGTTGTTTTAATGTGATTGTTGAAAATTGGGGTGAGGGAATTGCTGGGATCGCCTCAGTCCCTCCGGCAAGGACGCTAAGGCACGGGGAAGGGATAAACAGGTGGCCTCGTCGGTATTTTATTCACGTTTTTCGGGAGTTTTTGAAAATGTTTAACCAGCGATTTTGAGTGCCGACACTCCCACGAGGATTACGTGAAATTTTGATTGAGGAGAACTGCCGTGGGAATGTGTGGCTCGAGAAAATAGTGAACAGAAGCTGATTAATGTTTAAAAAATAGCGATTGTGATTGTTTATTCGGCGCTGGTGAGGAATTTTCAGTGGGGTCTTTCGGTATTTTTGGTTTTCACGCGAGTGAACACTCAACAAGTGACGGAATTTCCTCTCGGGAAATTGAGAACGAGCTTTCATTTGGTTTTATCAACTGAAGAGTGAATGATTAGAGAGTGATTTATTTTTTAGTGCGTGTTCTCACGGGGTACAACACAATTGACACTGTTTTGCCTCGAGTTGTTTATCTAACGAGAAAATAAGTGTCCTTAAACGTCCGGCAATTACACGGCTCATTGTTTTTTTTTCGTTCCTCTTTGTTTATTTATTCTGTGGTCTCTTTTGAAATTCCCCGGGAGTGGAGGCTGGGCACTCGGTGCGGGGATAATTAAACGCGTTCCAGGTGCGACGGGGACAGGACAAGAACCGTGACAATTAGAGGATTAAATGTGAGGGGTGGCCGTGCGAAAGTTAACGGAGAACGACGGACTGTCACCTGTCGGGGGCTCCTGGGGTCCAGGGGGTTTGAGGCCAGTGAGTGAGTTTTTACCGGCGAGTGAAGAGTGAAGTGCTGGGAGAGGATTTTCATGTGGATTTCGGTGATTTATTCGGGGTAACCGGCTGGTGTGGAGGGCTGGGTGACACTGGATTCGGGGGGGCGGCGGGTACTGGGGGGCGAGACTTGTGGGGTGATGCGGTAGTCGCGGGACTTCCGAGGGAAGCCATGAGGGCGGCCGCCGCCTACGTCCTGTTCTTTGCCCATCTCATACAGGTAGGTTCTGATTTCTCGGGGGAGGTTGCGCTGAGAGAAAACATTAGTTTTGTTGCGGGCTCTTTCTTGGATCGAGTGTTATATACTTGAACCAATTTCAAATGAATAAGGGCTTAGGGTGAATAGCAATTTTTTCTTGTTGGGATACATCCACTTGAAGCAAGTAAAACTGCTCTTGGCGTCGAGTCGCATGTATTCACCGCAAAAATGGAAGAGTTCTATTTTTTTAACCTGATGTAATCTCCAGTCGAGGAATTTTCTACTTTCATGAATTGATGAAAAATTCGTAGCTAGGAGATGATTACATTGAGGAATTAATTGAATGTTGTTTCCTCGAATGAAGCCGATGTTTAAATTGAGCTTTCCGTACATCACATTGAACGAAATTTGTGATATCCAAGTTTGTGTTGAATTGCCGTAATCTGTGATTCTGTTATTGTAAACTAATGCGATTTTTTTTAGTCAAGAAATATAAACTTCTTTCAACTCAACGACATCTTACTGCAATCTCAAAGCGTTTTCCGCGTAACAATATTCATCCTGATTCGACATACGAAATGCTCACTTCAATTATAATTTACTTGGAGCAACGTATGATCGTGTTGATTGAGATAACAACGTATTTAGTCATGAGAATAATTTTGATTTTTGAGTAAACCAACGAATTTCTGGAGTTGGCAAACTTTTGGCTAGAACGAAATCAAATACTCTCATTATTGCGACACATAAAAGGAAGTTCAATTCTAGAGAAGTTCGATTTCTCACAATCAAATGTATCTCAGGAAGAGATCGCTGGTATTCACTGTGAAATCATGTTTATTTGAAAATTAACAACCAAATGATAGTCGGTTCCAATCAAATTCTCTTGATAGAATGAATTTTTTCTGTCAGTGTTGGAGAGAAAGAGGGCAAGTCGATTGTTGGGGAGACATTTAAGGATATCTAAGTGTCTTTTAGAATCATTTTTAATCATCAAATTTTCCAGTTAAATTGCGTGGGAAACAAGTTGGAAATCGCTCCTGTATTGCATATACTACATCATTTCCCCCCATCATGTGTAATTCATTGTTTATTTCATTTTATTAAATGGAATAAGCTTTCATTTCAACTAATTTTGTCAGATTTTCAACTCAGTTGAATGTTATCATCATCATTATTCTTATTATCCCTTTCTTCTATACAAGCGATTGTCTTTTTTACAGTTCTATCTCTCCCCTCAGCCCTTCGATAAAATGTTAATAGAAAAATTTTATTTACACATACTTGAATGAATTTGAAACATCACATTTGAAGAAACCATCAGAAAGCTCACTTTCAGGGAAATTCATGAAAAATTCGAAATTTTCAACATTCATCATAAAAATCAAATCAACCAATACAATCGTAATCATCTTTTAACTTCGACTTAATGGCATTAAAACAAACATTTCAAGCTATGATTGAATTCATTTGAAGCATGATATTCAAAGATATCCCCGGAATTCTGATTTTCAAAAAATACAAATTTTTTTGCCAATTTTAAAATAAATCAAAATAACGATTATTGCTATCGCCTTCATCTTCGAACTCGGTCAAAAGGACATCCAAACAAATTTTTTAAGCCGTCATTCAATCAATTCAGAAAATTTTTTCAAGTTATTATGAGACAATCGATTTTCGAAAAAATTTGAAATTGAAAAAACTAATGCATGAATTAAATTTCAATTAATGGCGATCGATAGGGCCCAACAATACCTACATTTGAAAACAAAAGATTCAATACCGTCCGTTTATTAGCGAGCAGTTGAAAATCATTGTAAAATGCCCGGAAATTTACGAGCAAGTGGGGCTCAAATGAAAGCTCTGATCGGCTGCAAAAGTAGAAAAGCATTTCACTTCCGAAAAAATGGCCAAAGTACTTGGATCCCCTTAATGACCCAAAAAACTCGACCAACATCTCCAATTTATTTCGCCGACTAAAAATGTGGGAAAATGACCCGAGCACCGTAAATTTCTACCATTTGAATTCCCACCTCGTTTATAAAACATTACATTGATCGATATCACAAGTCTCTCTCGGTATCTTCACTCGTCGCTTCTTCCTCGTTACATTACCCAGGCATCACACGAAAACTTTCACCTCCCCCGTTCTTTTTCGTGACGTTTTCATTTTTTTCTTCTTTCCGCGAGGCCTGTGGGATGCATTGCCAAAGCCAATAAAATTAACGAGCTGTCGACGGTGCCCCCACCGTGTCAAACGTACCGGTGAAAATAAAAACGAGCTATAAAAATGTGAAAGAAAACCACCTGAAGATCCACCGAGTACTATTGGGAGCTATTGAGATAATAACGACGTTTTACTTGGCTCTTTATTTTTCCATTATTTCTCATTTTTTATTGCTCCGATTTTTCTGCTCTTCTGTCTCCTGGTACGAGTGCCTTTTCTCGTATTTGGAGGTGGACTTTTTTTCTCCCTCTGTTTAGTCCCTTTTTTCGAAGTTATGGGAGTGTAAACGAGTTTCGAGGAACTCTGCGGCTTTCGCTGCCCGTTACACGCTTCAAACTCGTGTGTTATTAAAGCCCTCTTTCAATTACAAGACACCAAGTGGTCGTTCCTGACGTCTGGAATCTGGTGGACAATCTGAATGACATGTACTTGGGGGTTTTATGGGCTTGATCGGGTTGGGGCCTTTGGGGGGAGAGGGTGCAGGGAAATACGGGTTTCGAGTACTAGCGCCACCCTTGATGGCCCTTTTTCCTGTCAGATTCAGTATTCCTTTTCTCAATTGATTGTTTATTATCGTTCTCGTTGCAAACAGCAATACGACCGATGAGAATTATATGCCCCAATTTATCAGCTGTTAAATTTTCATATTACAATAACTGATTTGCTCACGTTCTAATTCCTAGGCGCACTGAATAAGATTTTAATCATAATTACAATTCAGTTCCTTCTGGAACACACTTTAGAGTGCGAATTTCTGGAATTCAATGTTTGTTAATACTCTGGTAAAAGTGCGTGCCCACACTGTTATCAATTTTTAGTTAGTTCACACGGTAATTCAATTAATCTGTTGTTCATCTCATCAATATAATTCCGTGGTTAGAATATTGTCATCTCGTGTTATCAGCACCAAATTAAAAATTAAAACTTCATTTGGAATATTGAGTCACAGCTTCTTTTTATTCATATCAGAAATTTTGTATTTGGATATTAATATTATTTGGTCAAAGTGAAAAAATCGATCATTATTTTCACTTTATTGCATTCAGATTCTTCTATCCTTAACGTCAAAAATGTGAGATAATCTCATAATTCTAGCTATGAATATAATCAACTTTGTTCGAAGAAAACCTTAGTAAACGCAATATTAAGAAAGTTGAATTATTCTATTTTCCTCTGACCTAAATGGTTTGGACAATTGTGATTCATTTATTCATGTTTCATAGACTGGAAGTCAATGTAAATTTGCAAATTTCAATTCAATTATTTCATGAAAATTAATAGAAGTAAGGAAAATTCAAGAGTTTCTATTCTTGAATTTAGTGATCGATTCTCATCTCGGAAATTCATTCAAAAAAAGCACTTCAATTTTTCTGTTTTTATAGTAATTCAATTTTTTAAACCACTTTTTTAATTAAAATTTTCCAGCCTTGAGACTTCTTAAAGAGATTTTGTTTTGACTATTTCAAATAATTATTTTTCCACAATTTTATCCTATTTTTTAGGAATTATCGAACATTCTCTTGAGTTTACTGAAGGTATTTCAAGATTTTCCACTAAAAATAGGGAATATTAAGGTTCCTAAAACTAAAATAATCTCCTAAAAAGTAATTGTTCCTAGATTTCCATGCAATTGAATGGGAATACAATTCAAAGGAGTGGAAATAGTAGACTGTTGGGAATTTTTGGATTAAATTTCTATGACAGTTTTACTGACATTTTGAGGAATTTTGACATTGGAAACTTTTTTGTGTGTTTTTGTAGTAATTCAATTCTTTAAAATAATTTTTCAATTAAAATCTTCCAGTCCTGAAACTTCTTAAACAAATTTAGTTTTGAGTATTTTTATTAATTATTAATTTTAATTTTATTTTCATTCAATGTTTTTTTACTTTATCTATTTATTTATTCAATTTTTATTTGGTGACAGTTTTCGAACACTTGTTTGAGTTTACTGAAGCTATTTTGAGATTTTCCAGTAAAAATACTGAATATTAAAGTCCCTAAAACCAAAATAATTCCCTAGAAAGTAATTATCCCTTAATTTCTGCGAATCACTTCAATTTTAATTTAGGAAAATCACTGATTTCCTTATGTAATCTGACTCATTGCATAACTCGCCGATAAATCGATAAAACAATGCACCTCAAAACGATCACCAATCCCGCCACCTACACAACAAGCGAGTCATTCCCCAGCCCCGAGGCTCGTGTCTTCGAGCTTTAATTAAGAGGGATTTAACGGTGGATATCGGGAAAGAGGAGACCTACGGTGGTCGTCTCTGAATTGAATAGGAAATGGTCTTCCCCCTCTGGTGCTCCGCGTGGGCATCGCGATTCACCGCGCTTGGAACACTCGATATGGAATGGACTATTCTCACTGATGCCTTCTCCACTCGTCCATGAGATATCCCCAAGAGTCTTCACGTCACGGGTAAACGAATCCGCGATTATTAAGCTTGAAATTGCCAGATACGCTTCCAATATACCCGTTAAAACGTCCAACCGAGGGGAATCAAATTGATTTCTCGTCATTTTTCATACCATTTCCGTTCAATTAATGGAAAATTACTCATTAATTCTCAAACAGGAGCAAAATAAATGGTTATGAGGATTTTGAGAGCGAAAAAATTCGAATAAAAATGATGAAAAACTCACGGGAAATTGCTCTTGTAGTCCATATGGTATAATTATTTTTGCTAATAAATTAGCAATACGCTTGCGAACGGTTATTTTGCTCATCATTTCCTTCTATCACGTGCAATTCATTGTTTATTTCATTTTATTGAATTGAATAA